TGACAACCCTTTAACAGGCAAGATAAGCATCATAAAACAAGGAATAGCACGTCATGAGTTATGTCATGTCTAGTAAAGCTGTAATTGAAACAAAAACATGAACTATCATGTAATCCTTAGGGTTTTGTAGCGAGACGGTGACGATGAAGTTACCATTTCTAAGTTCCTATCAAGGACTCCATTCAGGATTTCCAGTTCACAAGTGATAGTGCAATTGAGGAATATGGCATGGAGTATAATGACAACTAGATTAAGTAGACTGATTCTCCTAATCATAACACGAAACAAAACCCACGCTTGACATCAGCAACAAACTGTCATGACTATAGTATTTTTTGGATCTTTCAAAAATAATGTTATAAAAACCAGCCTTTGAATCTTCTTTTTCAAGATCTCTTCCAGGAATCCATACAAAAACTTCCAAGTTTCTGAATGCATCACAATTGATGTATTTAAAGAGGAGCTGAAAGGAAACTTAAATGAGTACATGATGCCTCAATAATTAGGCAAAACTACATGAAGCTTTCAAATCATCACATAACCAACATGTATAGCATATTATTTAAGGTCTTTGGAATCGTTAAAAAGTAACTATATTGTAGTACTCATTCTGAAACTATCACCTAAGACGGGTTCCGCACAGGACTTTCAGCTTGCAAAATGTTGTCGTGATTGAAGATTTTAAGGGGAGCAAAAGGAAGCGTAGTGATTCAAGAGGAGCAGAAGGATAGTGAGAATGAGTAGTTGATAATATAAAAAAACTGGTTCCACAAACAAGGTCCCAACAGGGCAACAACTATATAATGAGTCAAATCAACAAAGAATGTATAATCGAGGCAACCGTTTATCTTGATAAAGCATGAAGCATTCCTCTTAGATGGACGCACAAAAAGCATTTCAGTTTTGCTGAAAGCAGTACCACCTTGATAAATAAAAGGCACTAAGGAGAAACCAAAATGTAGCGACAAATCGACACTCGTTTCGAATCAAGTAACAACACTGACCCTCCGGCCTGATGCATATTATACAAATAATCATAGAAGCACTGGTCCAACCAAAATAAATGGATCATCATGTTGCTATCCTTGAAACCACATTCACCCTATTCATGGTAGCACATTTCTAAGAAACTAAAAGACAGATTATGGTGACACCCAAAAATCCCACAATGTGATATTCCCGAAAGGGCAGGGAAAGAGGAACGCAATGACAACTAGTTAACAGGCAAGATCAGCATCATAGAACAAGCAATCGCACATCATGAATGGTATCATAGTCTAGTCAATCCTCAATTGAAACAAAAAAAAACATACACTCATGTTATCCTTGGATTTTCGTAACGAGGCATAACACTGAAGTTATCATTCCTAAGGTTCATCTATCTCAAGTTCTCTTCTAGGGCTCCATATAGTACTTTCCGTTTGCAAAACATGGTCACCAACTGAAGTAGAGCAGAAGGATAATTGAAATGAGTAATAATCACTTATTATATATAAGGCAACATCAACTCACCTTTTCTGATAAGTGTAGACAGCAAACACACTTGTTTTGATCTTCTTGTGGCAAAGGGAGCACATGTCCCCGCTGTTGATCTTCACAACTGTTTTTCTATACTTGTACAACTCGTCTTTCACCTGGTTCACCACATAATAGGCCATAGTCAGTGGTCATAATATGTTAACGGGCTTAATATATTCAACATTCTCAAGTGGTCATTCCGGGCTATACGTATGGCGTCAAGACAACTTATATGTAGGATGTCATGTCATTGATACCTGCAGGTTCTCAGTCTGTCTTCAGCTCTTGATTACTAAAAGGTTCTCTTTCGCTTCACTAGATTTCCTCGATAGAGGTCCAAGAAACGGCAGCAAGTTCTGCATTGAACAAAACAAATTGAGTTCAACTACATGTCTCAGGCCTCTCATGAAGAGAGGCCAGCTCTAAGCTTTAGGTGTCCAAGAACATTGCTCCTTTTTGGTAAAATTGCTACCTGTAAGTTGGTTTGCATGGGTAAACATGGAGGGCTTGGGCATCATTTATTCGGTCCCACCTTTTTCTAAAGAGATCAAGCACCTCATCAAGCATTATGGTAGAACTTCCTTCTGGATTAATTTCGACCGCATCACCATCGCTCTTGCTGCTATCAGTCCCACTAGGAGTCATATGCAAGTCATCTGCAATTTCTATTGCAGCAATTTTCTTAGCTCCACGACCACCTTTAGTCTTGGTTCCACTCGCAGAACTGGCCTTAGGGATGTTGGTGCTCCGAGAAGCTACTATATTTGTGATTCGCTTCTCAAAGTTCTTGGTTGTGTTGTGGGATTAAGATAGATTTGTTGAAGCGTGAGGTAGAAGGTTGTGGAGTTGCAGACTCATAAATGCAATCACAGTAGGACAATGTCAGATCAGGTTGATGAAGCTGATACAAGGAAAAAAAGTAACTTAAGTTGGCTCATGGACTGCAGATCAAAGAAATGGATGAATAAGTTTAGATGGTAAACGGCTTCAATATTGATCAATATACTCAACGAGAGAAACGATTACAAATAGCAAGGTATTTTCTGGGTCCATCCATGTTGCAGTGCTCAATTTCAAGTTCCCTTCTAAGACTCCATATAGTACTTTCCGTTTGCAAAACATAGTCATAACTGAAGTAGAGCAGAAGCGCAATTGAAATGGGTACTAATCGCTTATTATAAGGCACAACATCATAAGCATTGAACCACCATGCAAGGTATTTTTTGGATTCATCTATGATGTAGTACTCAATCTCAAGTTCCCTTCTAGGACACCATATCATACTTCCCATTTACAGAACATGGTCACTACTGAAGTTGAGCAGAAAGGAAACTGAAACGAGTACTAATCACTTGTTGTAAGGCAATACCAAATCAACTTTTAGATAAGCATTAAACCGACACATACAAGGTATTTTCTGGCTTCAGTTATGATGTAATACTAATTCTCAAGTTCCTAGCACTCCATATCGTACTTTCCATTTACAGAACATGATCACAACTTTCCCGTGGAGCAGAATGGAACTAAAATGAGTATTAATTATAAGGCAACACCAATTCAACTTTCAGATAAGCATAGAATCAACACATACTGTAAGGTATTTTATGGACTCATACATGATTTTAGTACTCATTCTGAAGCTCCCTTCTAGGAGTCCATATCGTATTTTTTGCTCACTGAACAATGGGCACATCTGAAGTGGAACAGAAGGGCAACTGTAATGAGTACGAATTACTTATTATAAGCGACACCAAAATCAGCTTTCAGATAACCATTGAACCAACACGAACGAGGTTTTTGCAAGTCTGTGTTTGATGTGTAATCATTCTCAAGTTCCCATCTAGGACTCCACATTGGAATTTCCGATTATGAAACACTGTGTTGATGAACGTGAAGGGGAGGAAAACGACAACTGGAGTGAGTAACTAATCATCTTAACAAGCAAGTTCAACATCGTAGAACAAGCAAATAGCATAAACTACTAGACAACCATCTTCTGAACCACTTTCATCCTATTCATGATAACACATTTCTAGAAGATCAAAAGACAGATTGATCAAAACAGTTTAGTGACACCCGCAGAATCCCATAATTGATAATCCCGGAAGACGAGGAAATAGAAATGCAGTGACAACCAATTAACAAACAAGTTCAACATCATTGAACGAGCAGTAGCATGTTAGAAGTGGTGTCACAGTCTACTAAAGCCACTATTGAAAACAAAAACATGCACTATCATGTAATTATTGGATTTTTGTTAGGAGACACTGACATTGAAGTTATCATTCCTATGTTCCTTTTGAAAACTCAATTAAAGATCTACAATTCACAATAATGGTGCAATTGAGGAATCTGGCAGCAGAACAAATGGATTAAGCAGGCTGATTGGACCTCTTAATTATATGGCAAAAGAATACCCACATTTTAGATCAACAACAAACTCACACGTTTTGAGTATTTTATGGATCTTTTGATAATGTTACAAAGAACCAACATTTGAATCTTCTTTCTAAAGTTTCCTTCCACGAATCCATAAGAAACTTCAAGTTACTGAATGCATCCCAATTTATGCAGGGGGGTTGTGAAGGGAAACATGAATGAGTATATGTCTATATGACAATTTGACGGAAATTTCAGATCAGCACAGAACCAACAAGTATAACATATTTTGGTTCCAAGGACTTCGTCAGAAGTAACTATATTTTAGTACTCATTTTAAAAGTATCACCAAAAACCGATTGCACACAGGACTTTCAGCTTGCAGATCGTTGTCCCCATTTAGGGGAGCAAAAGGCAACTTGAATCAGTCAATGATTATCGCAATAACAAGGCAAACTTGAATCGGTCCATGATGTGAAATCTTACATTCTCAAACAATAAGGTCGTTTCAAGCATATTAAGAGTCAATGATTGCATAACTAAGGCAACTGGAATGAGTAGTTGATCATCTCACTATTAGGCAGAACTACAACCAACTTCCATATAAAAAGTAAACCGAATGGACAGGGTTTTTCTGAGTTTATCTATGATGTACTACTCATTTTTAAATCCACATACTGGGTATTTTATGGTTATGAAACATGGTCACAACCGAAATGGATCAGATGGGCAACTGGAATGAGTAATTAACCATAATCGTCTTATGCTAGTCAAAATCGGACCCAACCTTCATATAAGCATCAAAATTTTATGGAAATGGTATTTTCTGTGTATATCTATCTAGTACTCATTCTCAAGTTCCCTTCTAGGACTCCATATCGTACTTTCTGTTTACAGAACACGGTCACAACTGAAGTGGAGCAGAAGGGAAACTGAAAGGAGTACTAATCACTAATTATAAGGCACCACGAACTCAAATTCTAGATAATCATTGAACCGACAAAGACCAGGTATTTTCTGGGTTCATCTATGATGTAGTACTCATTTTCAAGTTCCCTTCTAGGACCCCATATTGTACTTTTCATTGACAGCTCACGGTCACAACTGAAGTGGAGCAGAAGGGCAACTGAAATGAGTACTAATCACCTATTATAAAGCACCACCATCTCAGCCTTCATATAATCATTGAACTGTCAAAGACAAGGTATTTTCTGGGTTCATCTATGATGTAGTACCCATCTTCGAGTTCCCTTCTAGGACTCCATATCGTACTTTTCATTGACGGAACATGGTCACAACTAAAGTGGAGCAGAAGGGCAACTGAAAGGAGTACTACACTTATTATAAGGCAACACCAATTCAACTTTCAGATAAGCATTGAACCGAGAAGACAAAAGTATTTTCTGGGTTCATCTATGATGTAGTACCCATTTTCAAGTTCCCTTCTAGGACTCTATATCGTACTTTTTACTGGCAGAACATGGTCACAACTGAAGTGGAGCTGAAGGGCAATCGAATAGAGTACTAATCACCTATTATAAGGAACCCACGATAAGGTCATGATCAGTCCTCAAGGACAGGGAAGTAAGAACCGACACAATACTCATTCTCAAGTTCCCTTCTAGGACTCCATATCGTACTTTCCACTTACAGAACATGGTCACAACTAAAGTGGATCAGAAGGGCAACTGAAATGAGTATTGATCACTTATTTTAAGGCAACACTAACCCAACTTCCAGACAAGCATTGAACCGACCCATAGAAGGCATCTTTTGGTTTTATCTGCGATGGTAGTACTCATTCTCAAGTTCCCTTCTAGGAGTCCATATCCTATTTTCTGTTTACATATCAAGGGCACAACTAAAGTAGAGCATAAAGGCAACTGGAATGAGAACCAATCACTTATTATGAGCAACAACAACTTAGCTTTCAGACAAGCATTAAACCGACACAGCCGAGGTATTTCATGGGTCTACATATGATATAGTAATCATTCTCAAGTTCCCTTCTAGGACTCCATAAAGCATTTTCTTATTAGGAAAACATTGTACTTGTGAACTTAAAGTGAAGGAAAAGGGCAACGAGAGCGAGTAACAAATCATCTAAATCCACGGCAAAATCAAACCCAGTTTCAATCATTGAAGACATGGAACATGTATTTTCCAGGCTTATCTATCATATAGGAAGTGATTGAGCAAACACTGTTTAGCGATACCCACAATTTGACCAAGATCAGTTCGAAAGGACAGGGCAATATGAAGGCAAGATCAAGTATCGTAGAACAAGCAACAACACGCCAAGAATGATCATAGTCCACTAAAATCCGCAATTGAAACAAACGAAATGCACAATCGCATGATGATAATCACGTACTCCTTGAATTTGCTGCACAGCCATTCAAATTCTTAACATAGAAAAAAGGGACACAAAGAACAATACCAGAGAAGGGCTGCTCCGGCCCAGATCGCGTCATATTATCGCGAGCACGCAAACCCCAGCCCGACCATCGAGTACCAAAAAAAAACCCTAACAAGTGCTAATCATGCCGAAACCCTAGCAATATTCCACGGGCTTCCGAACGCATAAATAATTTCTTGGCGTCCGACATTCGGCAACATAAGAAGAAAGCAATATCGCAATTCCGGATTTCCCGAAGAGGAACAAAAGAAATCAGGCGGCTGAAGTACCGAAGTGAAAATCTCCGACGTACCGGAAGCAAGCAAGCAGTCACTACGAACGGAACACGCTTAACGACCGATCGAGCCCTAGTCTCCACTCCACCGCCTCCAGACCAGCCCTCTCAGAACTCCAATCCAGAGTACAATGACCGTTGTAGAAGCGCGGGCGATGATGCTTATTAATAGCGTAGAGTTACATCCTCGTGAGATGATTAACGCGGATAAAAATACACGGAGTAGAGGAAATGACTATCATGCCCTCCACTTATAGTCATTACTGCAAACGATGAATACCGATTTCACCAAAATGCCCTTATTTTTTAGGTTCTGGAATGTTTACATTTTGGTATGGAGAGAACTGACTAATTGGGCCGTCAGGACTTAGACGCTCGGGTGGGCTACTGGAGTTTACATTTGGGCCCAAACCAAATAATTAAGGACAATGCTACTGGAGAATTATTATATAGCCAATGTTTGGCCCGACTTTTAGAAGTGTTTTTCGGCTTCAAAAGTTGAAGCACGGTCAATCACTTCTAAAATTTTAGCTTTTGAAAAGTCGAAAATCGCTTTTGTATAACATAAAAGCAGAAGTTCCGATTTGGAGCTTCTGCGAAAAGTTGTTTTGAAAATATAAGATTATTCTTACAATATTTTAATTTTATTTTCAGAAAATATAATTTTCTTTCATTTATATCATTTTAAAAATAAAATAAAGTATAAAATTATATTATTTAATATAAAATAAGTCTAACAAGATCCATTTTGACTACATTTTATTGTTTAGAATTATTATTCATAGTTTATATTATAAGTCTTTTATAGTCATTTTACACAACCTCTCATATTAAAAAACACTTTTAATAAATTTTCAATCAAACACTCAATTGCTTTTTTTGAAAAGTACTTCTCTAAAAGCTCAAACTAGAAGTTGCTTCTGCAAAAGGTACAACAGGGCCAAACTGCGCTATAATACTATCAGGACTCGGGAGTATTTACCTGTAACTTACATTTTGGTCCCTATCTGGTTTGGGTCCTTTCCGAGTTTTAGTGGTGGGGACTGATAGTACCTACTATAATTTTATAGTAGGTACTAGGATTTTATGATTTTGTTTGTGAGACGGTCTGAATCGATGATCCGTGAGAGATTTTATAATAACGTATAATCTGAATTTCTAATCCAATATATAGTTTAGGATGATTTGAGTCTTATACTAGTCTCGTACATATAGGTATAAAAGTGTGGTTCTAAAAATAAAATCAACATCTTGATCATCATCAACATCAAACCCAAACTCTTTTTCTTAACATTTAATTACTGATTATCGTTAGTTTTTAATTTATTCCCATGACACGAGATAGCACTGGACCGAGGCATCTACATATGTTGTCTACACAATAACAAATATCACAACCACTGCACTTACCGTTGCAAACTCCACTTCTTCCGAATTCTCCTTTGCATTTAGTATACGCCTCCACCCCGTCATCTGTCAAACAATTTCGTAACTATTTAGTGGAATTTGATAGATTTAATTTTAGATGGTTTGAGAAGAAAGCAGAGAAATCGTGGTTTTGGATCTCGAAGTAAAGCAAAAGAGATTCAAGAGGAACTAATTAAATTACAAATATTGAGCACGAGAAAGAGTGCTACAAGCAAGAGAGAAGATAAGTTTGATGAATGTCGTCATCATTTTGATATTCTAGATAGTATTTTTTTGGAGCACGTGAGATGATGATGAGATTCACGATATGATTTATCAATCTATTAGAAGATTACGAGAATGATGATGGGATTGTCAAAGTTCTATGCCTATATTTATAAGTCGAGATGATAGCGTGGTGTGTTTTTAACCGTTGTTTGAATATATATATTTATAAATCTAAGAAGATGGAAAGATCGAGATCGTTGTGGCCTGTCCTATTCTGTCAAATTAACGTCGGAAGTCTTGTGATTCAGGATACTGGAAATGTTATACGGCTGATCGGTGGTGTCAAACGAGCGAAGCCACAAGATCAGGAAACTCCTGGCACCGTGGAAATTGATCCAGTAAGTGATGTGATTAGGGGTGTTCAAGTGGTTATCATGGTAATTACCAAATTAAATAAGGGTAAATTCTATTAACCATGGAAAATAATAGGACTTTGATACAGTGACTTGCAAGTCACCATAACTTGTACATTTCGGTTGACCGAAATTTAAGAATGGTTGACCGAATCTACTTATTCCGTTTTGTGACTGTCATCAACGCGGTTGACCTTATACATCAAATGGTCGACCTATTATGTGGTTTTCGATTTTAGGTATGTGTGAACAAGAGTTGTCTTTTATTGTATTTCTTGTTAGTGTGTTAAGTTGTTATGTTATGAAGTATGGTTTCTTGCTATCATGATTGAGTATTGATTCTGTTGGTTCCAAACGTAATTTGTACGAGCAAATTAACACACACATTGACATACATAAAGCAAAAAAGTCGAAGGTCATAGGCTGATTTTCCTATACGAGGTCGACCTTCTACTGTATGCGGTCGACCGCGAAACCGGCACTTTTTGATCTACGTTTCACGTCAAGGGGGATGGATGAATGGATTGTACTTTAGTCTTCTATTAGGTTGACCTCTCTTGTTGTAAATGGTCAACCATTTCGGTAATAACTACCATCAAGTGGGCCACCTCCTTACATTTACAATCCACCATTTTGCTTCTGACTACATTGAAAGGTCGACCGAATTTTTATTGTGGTCTACTATTAAGGTATCAACTAACTAAAAACGGTTGACCACTATATGTTAATGGTCGGCCGTGAGGTTTCATCAGAGTGACCACGATAGTGAATCCGGTCGACCGCATGTAGGCATAGGTCGATCGAATTGTGCAAGTTACGGTGACTTGCAAGGCAGCATAGGCGTACTCAATATAATATCATAACCAAACCGTCCAAAACTAATACAACAACCACATTAACCAAATTAAAGTTTAATCGGTTTTGTTAATTGGTTAACCAGATTAACTAATATAACATCACAATATAGTATCATTAAGTGAAAAAAAAATTCTGTTAATGCATCCATTCGCAATTTATAACCAGCATCTGTGGCCCAGTCCAGGCCCAAACACGCACCCCAAGCCCACAGGCCAATCTGCTGGGCTCGTGATGGACCGCCTCCATATCAAACAGATAACGAAATAGCTCTTTCTTTCCATGAACCCCTTGGTTTTTCTCTCGGGCCCAAACGACTTAAGATTAAGAAACAGGACTCACAGGTATTCACTACCTTGATTATACAAACGGGTTAAAGACACATTTGGTCACTGAGATTACAAAATCTGGACATGTTTAGTCACTAGAAAAATTAATATCAGATTTGGTCACTACAATTACTAAAACTGGACACATTTAGTCACTCGCCGTTAGTCTCCGTCCAACTCCGTTAATGAAGTCCGTTAAGTGATGATGTGGCAAACAGAATTGCCTAATCAGCCGGATATAACCCAACAAAAATAAACCCGACCCGCCACGTCATTAAAACCAACCCAACCCAACTCTTCTTCGTCCTTCCTCCCACCTCCTTCTTTCCCCAAAACCAACCCAATCCCAACCCACCCAGAAAACCAAAAAAAACCCCTTTCCCACTTCTCACCTTCTCCGACATCGAAACCAATCTCCACCACCCCCACCTCCGCCGTTATCACTTCCACCTACACTCCTGCTCTCGCTTCTTCTCTTCAACTCAGAGACCTGAGATTGCCACTGGTTTCTCCAGTCTTCTCTTTCACCAATTTCCTGCAAATTGTCAAAACCCAAATCGGATCAGCACAAATTCCTTTCAAATCTGTAACCTTTTCACAAGAATAGGCATATAAGGGTATCTAAAAGCTCAGATCTTTATCCATTCTGTAGAAATACTTGACAGAGCAGGGTATTTATGCAATAACAGAGGAATTTTCGAACTTCCAAGTTAGGTAACAAACAAGAGACTAAACAGATTCGAATTTGATAACCCAATTCTCCTTCATCACAAAATATCCCCAAACCAAAGATTTGAAAAAACAGGGGAGGGGAAAGAACCCATAATGGAAGAAAGTTTGGGAGGCGAAATTACCTCATCGTCATGGTATGAGGAACGTCTCCTGGCGGAGAAGGCGAGGTGAAGCCCTCTGGCCATGTCCCGATCGTAGAGCGCCCTCTGTCGAGGATCCGACAGCGTCTCGTAGGCCTCCTGCACCCGAATGAACCTCTGGGTGTACTCCTCGACCCGATCCGGGGGCGAGACGTCCGGGTGGTACTTCCTCGCCAGCTGCTTGTACGCCAACTTAATATCTCTCAGGCTCACCGACTCCGGTATCCCAAGCAGGTCGTAGAAGCTCATCTCCGCACCGGCGGGTGCCGTGCACGCGCAGCCGGAGGAGGCAGAGGCGGTTTCGTTCACGGTGGCCCTCGTCCTGAAGGACGCCATTGACGGGCGACCCAGAGAAGGGCGAACACGGAGAACAGGGTCGGGCAATCTGGCGGTGGAGGAAGGCGAGGCGCCGAAGAGAGCGGCGTCGGTTCCTGGCATCGTCAATCCGCAGCTCGTCATATCGATGGAAATGATCTCGTTCTTGATTTCAGGTTTCGATCTTCGATTGTGTTAGTTTGATTTCTGGGTTTTGATCATTTGATTGTAAAGTTTCGATTTTGGAAGGGAGAATTCCTGATTAGGGTTTGTGGAGAAGAAAGGAAAGGAAAGGGGCTATGGAGCGTTTGAGGGAAAGGAGGGGATAGATATAGGAGCTTTTGGGGGCACAAAGTGGGAGGAGGTGAGCTACAAACGAAAGGGTCCCAGAAATCCCAGTTGGAAGACTGAGGAACCGGCGGCGGAGGCGGCGGCGGAGCAGGGGAAGCGGAGATCGAGGTCCAGGTGGTGTCGGAGCTGGGGCTCATTGGAGGAGGCGGCAGCGGCGGCGGGAGAGGGGGTGAGGGGGACGGGATCGCCGGTTGGTGGCGGTGGTGGTGGTTGTAATTGGGGCGGAGGTGGGGGTGGTGGAGATTGGTTTCGATGTTGGAGAATGTGAGAAGTGGGAAAGGGGTTTTTTTTTTTGTTTTCTGGGTGGGTTGGGATTGGGTTGGTTTTGGGGAAAGAAGGAGGTGGGAGGAATGAGGAAGAAGGGTTGGGTTGGGTTGGTTTTAATGATGTGGCGGGTCGGGTTTTATTTTTGTTGGGTTATATCCGGTTGATTAGGCAATTCTGTTTGCCACATCATCACTTAACGGACTTCATTAACGGAGTTGGACGGAGACTAACAGCGAGTGACTAAATGTGTCCAGTTTTAGTAATTGTAGTGACCAAATTTGATATTAATTTTTTCTAGTGACTAAACATGTCCCGATTTTGTAATCTCAGTGACCAAATGTGTCTTTAACCTTTTTGCAAATTACATATTCCGTATCGTATAAATTTTGCAATTGATCAAAATGCGATTGATGTGAACCCTTAATCCGCCACTGCTTACTCAATCTCTCTTTTGGCACCGCTAACTTCCTGCCCTGTCCAAACTACTAACGCGCACCTACGGCTACTCTCTTCGTCAGCCTTATAAAGCCCACACTTCCAACATTATTATTCCCAGCTAGCGATGACGAAGATCTTCTGCTCTTTGTCTGTGGGTGCCCTCGTGATCATCATGCTACTGGTCTCGGCGGCAGCGGTTAATGTTGCTTCAGCCATCCGCCCCGAGGGAGACGGAATTCTGAAGCAGGATGGCTGAATTCTACTGAACCCATCGACACAGACGGGGATGCAATTTCCGAATCAGGCGACGGAATTACTAAAGAAGATGGCGTGGGATTCGTTTCTAGTGCTGCAGCAACCACCCTCGTCGACGGTGATGGAATTGCAAAGGAAAAATTAGCATTGGATTATCTGCAGCAGCCACCAAGAGGCAAGAACAATAATTGTTTGCTAATTGTATGCTAAATAAACAAATGTGAAATGTGGCACTCCAATCGTTATTATTATAATTAAATAATGTCAACTTAGCAAGTGAATGCAATAGGTTCAGGTGATTAAGGGGTCATCTTAGTTACGCGATTAAGTGAATATTCCCTTCCTCGTCAACAACCCGGAAATTGCCCTCGTCCAAGGCCGCTGGCGATTCGACGAAATAGTAACCGCTTCGTGTCACTGCTGAGACGGGATGGTTACGGTATGGGCTGAAACTGCACAGCCGATTGGGAAAAGTTTCCCTGCCGCCAGATTGCACCGCCGGTAGAGAAGACGATTGGAACGACGCAAGGGCGCAGGTCCAACGATCTGCTGCTAGATTAGGGAAGGGAGTTAAGTTTCCAGAGGAAGGCGATTGGTGGCACAATTCCTTATTTTCTTCTCCATCTGGTCACTTCAGTGGATCAGAGCAGCGGCCGTTCTCAGGGGAGAGTGCCGACGGCTTCAACCTAACAGCGGAGCGCTGATTGTTTTGAGGGCTGTTTGGTTGGGTTGGATTTTTCAACTAAACAGGTGCAGATCCACTTGAAGACAAGAATACACGGTTTACCGGCGGTAGAGACGGCGACGATTTAGATCTCTGTTTTGGTATTCGGATTACCATCAGTGGCTTATGGGCCTGATTGACTCCGTTTTTAGGGAGATAATGAGTGTCTTCGAGTGGCCATATTTCATTTGTTTGTTTTGCAGGCCTCACCAATGGCGGAGCTTCTGCTACAGCGACACAAGGGCTGGCAATGGCCAGTGTATAGCAATGGCACCGATGTCGTTCGCTCTTCGTACTTCTAATTCCGACATCCAAATTTCGGTGGCAGTTACAAATTCGGAGCCTCCAATCCTAGATGTGGAATGCTTCAGACGGTTACAAGTAGATAGGCGGTTACAATTACAAAAGTGGTTCCTAACCACGTTCATTTTAAGACTTTTAACTCTTACTCAATGACATATTAATTATGCACCTGTGTTTGGTATTTTTGCTTGGTCTTGCTTTGCAGGTTTTGTATTCAGCATAAATCGGCTAATAGAAGGCTCTTCAAGAAGTTCGCCGAAAGACGACTTTTTTGCGTTTATTCGTTTTTTTTATGTTTTTAGGCATACTAACAGGGCTGCCCATTGCGTGGCACAAACGGCCCTTGCATCGGTAGCAACCCATTTGGTTGACTACCACTCTTTCTTTTTCACCGCATTGTAACACCTATCTATTACGATCTATCTATGACAAAAAAAAATCTAATTTAATGAAGGATAATGTGATAATTACTGTTGGGGGTATTACGAAGCCACTTAGAGGTTGGACTCTCTCTCTCTAAAATACTACTTGAGAACACTTCTCTCTTTAAGAAACTAACTTGGGCGTCGGAGGATTAACGGGCCGGGGCGCCCTCCTCTTTGTGTGTGTAGGCCGACGCCAGGCGAAGGGAGACGTCCGAATATCGAGGGGGTACCGTGGCTCAAACAATTGGCGCGCCAGGTAGGGGAATATAACCAGAGATTATGAGTGAGGAAATGGAGGTGAGTGATGGAAGGGAAAGGGAGGAAGTCACGGAGGACCAATCGGAACGATTAAGGGGGCTGGCGCCCGAGATGGATGAGAGGGAGGAAAGTGATGACATGTTTCGAGGGTCGGAAGGCGCCTCGATGACGAAGAGAGAGGTGGAGGGATGACGCCTAGTCCAACGAAGAAAAGAGAAAGGGTGGCGGAGACGGAAAGTGAGTCGGGATATCAGAGGCGCCCCAGTTTGTGGCGCCCGCGCGAGTACGATGGGCTAGAGACGGGAGGATGGAATGGAGGAATTTTGGGACGCCTGTCTCGTCACGGACCCGTGAGACAGCCGTTGGCGCGTAACATACTAGCGGAGCCTGCAGGGACCAACATTCCCCCGCTCCCCACCTATGATGGGATCACTGATCCGGAGGACCACCTCAACGGTTACTTCACCAAGATGCAGCTTTACAACAGCACAGACGCCACTCTGTGCAAGGTGTTCCCGTCAACTTTCTCGGGCGTGGTGCTCGATTGGTATTATCACATTGAAGAAGGGCGCATTGAGTGCTTTGAGCAATTCGCGGAGATGTTTCTTGCGAAGTTCGCCAGCAGGAAACGGCGCACCCTAACCATAGGAGCCCTGTTCAAGATCAAGCAAAGAGAGGGAGAGGCACTGGGGGAGTTTTATGAGAGGTGGTTATCTGTGGCTCTGGCAGTGAAGGATGTGCAGCCATCAGTGTTGGGGGTGTGCCTGAACGAATGCACCACCAGCGAGGAATCGTGCAGATCGCTAGCAAAGAGAGACGTGGTGTGCACTGAAGACCTGGATCACCGGGTGCAAAAGGTAATCATGCTCGAAGAAACGTTGGCGGCCAGGAGGGCCGACCGAAGAAAGGCGAAAGGAGAGGAGGCGGAGCCGGCGAGGAGGCCGCACTTTGCAAGCGGTTCGGGGTATGCGCCCGCAAACCCCCCTCCTCCCAGGAGAACGGACGCCGGGCGTCCGGCACCCAGGGGACCCTTTTCCGAATATACAGACACGCTGAAAAACATACTCCAGCATGTCAAGGAGAAAGGGTATCATATCAGGTGGCCGGGCCCCATGAGAGGACAGCCCAATGAGTGGAACCTGGATCAATATTGTGACTTCCACCGAGAGGTGGGACACCACACGGCCGACTGCTACCAATTGAAGACCGAGTTGCAAGGCCTGGATGACAGGGGGATGCTCAATGACTTCGTCAAGAAGCCTGAAGAAAGAGTGCACCGGGCCTGCATGGCCGGTGTGGAAAAAACAATGGAAAAGCTACCACCACCGCCATACGACCTCGACCAAGAAAATGCGCCCGAACGGGTGCGCCTGACTATAGAGGCTATTTCGGGGACGGTGGACTTGAGAGAAAAGATAGAGGCGAATCGCCGCTTGAGGGCGGCGTCGGCAGAAGTCCAAGAGGCGATAGACATCAGTTTCAATAGGGCGCCCGAAGAAGCGTGCATGCTCCCATCCATGGACGCCCTGGAGATACAAGGTGTGGTGGCAGGGTGCCAGGTCAGGAGAATGCTCGTTGACACAGGGAGTTCGATGGACGTGTTATTCAAGGACACGGTGGTCCGCATGCAACTATCGCCAGAACTAATCAGACCCTCCGAATCGGTGTTGGTTGGCTTTTCAGGGGCGCCCGCCAGGGTAATAGGGCGGGTGCGCCTACTGGTTACCTTGGGGGATGGGGAGCAAAGGGTGACGCGTGCCATCGATTTTGGAATAGTGGACTGCCCATCGCCATACAACGCGATTCTGGGGAGGCCCCTCCTGGCCTTGTTTAATGGCGTGGCCTCCACTTGCCATCAGACGTTGAAGTTCATTGCGCCACAAGGAGTAGGCGTAACACGGGGAATGGGCGCCCCGCGTTACGCAAAAGAAGCGGGACGGAAAAGGAAGGGTAACGAAACAGTCAATATGGTGGAAATCTCGGCGGAGGAGGCACCCCGAGCCGAAGCGGCCGACAAAGAGCTTTTGGTGGCGCTAGATGAGGAACGCCCGGAAAGACGAGTGAGGATATCGGCGGAGGCGCCCGACGAAATGAAAGAGCGCATCGTCGCTCTTCTGAGGGAATTCGCAGAGCTTTTCGCCTGGAGTGCATTAGAGATGCCGGGCGTCGCCACCGAAACGGCCGTGCATCGACTGGCGGTCGAAGAAGGTAAGCGCCCTGTGCAGCAGAAGCGGAGAAACTTGTCGGCGGAAAAGGAGGCGGCACTCAGGGTCGAAGTAGATAAGCTCATGAGCGCCAAATTGGTCGAAGAAACATTCTATGTCACTTGGCTGTCGAACGT